AGAAGAATAGACGGGACTCCGTCCGGGCCGGCGCTTTTGTTGGTGTCAATGTGACGAAGGAGCACGAGTACCTCCACTTCAGTGGCGGTGACATCCTGGAGTGTCCTGTCAGTAACCCTCGGCGTGTGGAGGGAGGGGAGGGCCAATGCACCCATGGAGTGACTGCCTGTTCTGCTCAACAAAGAAGTTGTTGAAGGTTGTAGCCTTGTCGAGGTCAGAGCTTATGGTGTTCCCATCACATTCCAAGTTGGCAACGCCACGCTGTACTGAGGCTAACTCGGTTGGTGGGTACACTTCTGTCTGATTGTGTTGGGTCTGTTGCCAACGGGCTCAGCTGCTTGAAGGTGTATCGTTGTATCTGCCAGCTTTGTCGGTTTCAGGGTTCACATACTGTCTATTTGAAGTATACATACCTGTTAACCATGGACTGCTTCTGGCTAGATTAACTCTTGTGTAATCAATGCTGCTAGTGAAGCTTATATCAGATCCACTCTGATTTAGCCACCCACACTAGTAGCAAGTATTACCTTCACTGTCCTTTTCCTTTCTACATTTATTTATGGCTCAACATCCGAGTTTCTTAAAAAAATGATTAACAAGTTCAAAGAAAATCGATTTTGAATAATACAAATCCTTTAAAGTTCCATTAACTCGTTGTTGTCTGGCCATGTCTGCATCTATCATACTCTTTATTGCACTCTTTTGCACTATTGCAAATATCAAAGACTGCTATGCAATTGTAATTTTTGTATAGCATAAACTGCTATCCAAAAATATGACACTATATTCATCCCTGTAATACGACAATAATGTGTGTCTGTGTATGTGTGTGTGTCTGTGTGTGTGTGTTCGCATGCTCCTGTGTGTACGTGAGTGTGTGTACGGGGGATTAGAGTGTGTGCACCCTGCCTGGTGTCGTCGTCGGGTGGGGAATTCCCCTTATTGCTGTGAGTGGTGAAGAGGAAACATGGAATTCTGTTAAAGTCAGCACAAAGCTCTTCAGTAGGGAAACACACTCTTACCGAAAAGAAATTGATTTTGATCTAGATTGGTGTAGAGGTGTTCCATGGGTGCACACAGTGAGAAATACTAGCAAATACCTGCAGGTGTGCATAGCTATGTCGTAGCTACGTTCGTTTGTTTTGAATGTCTCCTCCCAAAATCCTATTTCCTGCATGACAGCATTGTTCACTTGGCAGACATTGCCTGGTCGCTTAAGTTGACCATCACTACTTCGTGCTGGACTCTCAGAGCTGCTCTGTGTGTCACTGTTGTGTGTGCACGTTCATTTGCCCATCGTGTGTGATAGATGTGATGAAGCATACTGGCCGAAGTACATTCGCTACCACCACCATGACAGATTTGGTAATAGACGTTGAGTTCTTTGACCAAGGCTCGAATAAATGGAACTCGACAAAACACTTCACGGCTCTAAAACAAACTCCGTTCCTAATTGTGATGAACGATGGACAAACGGGAACCTATTTCCGATCTCGAATCAACCTGAAAATACCTCATATCACGACTCTGTCAATTGTGTCAACTGGAGTTGCACCAGTCGGTGAGATTTCAAGTACACAATTGTTTCTTTTTGCGTTCATATGTATGTGTGTATGTGTGTATGTGTTTGTTTGTCGGTGTATGTGTGTGCGTGCGTGTGTGTGTGGGTTTGTTAGTGTATGTGTGTGTGTTGGAGGTCACTGGTTTGACGTTGCCTCGGAGAGGTCTGAATGGCGCCAGTTTGTGCACCACCTTCACCGAAGCCAGCACCTGCTCGCGTGGAATGCACCGTATGCCGCAGAACATTTGCAAAGCGGCACTACATGGCTCATCATAAGTCCAGTGCTGCAAACCTTCCGCTGGCTATATTCAAAGAAAAAAAGAAGGTCAGACGAATGAGATTGAATTTATTCAGAGTCTTCGTCGCTCGTGTCATTGTCACCTGGCAGCGCTGACTCCTCATCACCAACAGTCGCTGCTTCCGCTCGCATTTCGTTCGGATTCTTTTCAGCTGCATTGATGATCCGACGCGGGACTTTGGCTACGTTCTCTTCATTTCCAGAGCTGTGTACGAATCGGTGTCGACTCTATTCAGTCGTTCCAACCCGCGACCTCCATTATGACGTGAAAGATTCGCTCAAGCACATCCACAAGCTTCGCCTTTTCTCGGATAATCCTCCCAGCATTCTACAACGGCTTCGAGGAGATCCCTGCGATTCCCCTTGGTGACGAAGGAGACGTCTGACTGTAGAGAGGCGAAGAAAGCCAGGTCGTCAACATTCCGATCCGGAGTCTGCGCTGGTCGCACGACGACTGAAATGTTTCTTAACCCTCATGCCACACAAGAGAGACGAGCCTGTGGGGTGTCGCAAGCGTTTATTCCAGCATGAATAATCATGAGCCTGTGATCGGTAATCAAGTATGACATACATGTACTCAGTATGAGGTGATGATTATTATGATGTACACATATCACGCATCAGAGAGGCAAGGACAGCAGAAGCGACCCGCGGGGTCCTGCGCCATCGGAACGGCTACGTGTACTACTAGGTTGCTATGGCAGCGGAACACTAAATCTTAGTACACATGAATAGTTCAATGGTGCCGATGTGCGTGCACTATGCGGCGCCCATTGGCAGCACCCGTGCCTCCAATAAAGGTACCGAGTGGCTTGCGACACGCAGGCTCTAGTAGTGCTGTGGCATGCCTGCGGGCCTGCGAATGTACGTGCGATATGCCCCGCTGGACCAGCGGCCTGCAGCCATCAGGGCATACTCCGGTGCGCCTCGATCCGCCATGTGTGTGGCTCCCCCGGCGCGTAAGGAATGGCTGCTGATGCTTGGACCTAGCACTTTGTGTAGGACAGCATTGATGTCGTTCGGCGTGAGCTGGCGACCATCCTGAAACTTGAATAGGGGTTGCTTGTCATTGCTCCATTTGCTGGACCGAACGTAAGCCTGCAGGGCTCGGACGGGACATAGTGCGGGGTCAGCGTAGCGATGCAGCGCTACCTCCCCGCCTGTTGTTAATTGAGACGTCTTCATCCTCTGGAGCTGCAGAGAGGCCTCCTGCTGGGCTAGCCGGAGGTGTTCGCGCCTCAGCGTCTTGAGGCCGCCGGGACCGTGTGGTGACGGCGACGTGTACTCACTCACACGCAGCAGGCCGTGGAAGGCTGTCGTCAGAGCAGCCCATAGCATTAGTCTGTCTGCCGGGGAGTACAAGGTCCGATCCAAGAACTGGCGGAGAGCCTTCAACTGGTGGACGGTGATCGCTTGGCGCTGAGGGCGTGCTGACGGATGCCTGGGAAGTGACGCTCTCTCTCTCTCCAAGCCCTTGAGCAGGGCTGTGATGCGGTTAGAGGATGTAACCCCGACCGGGCCTCCCATGCGGAGGAGGTGGTATTTGATCGCGGCCAGGTAGACTCTCAGAGTGCTGGCGCTGACTGAGTGAGACATTGCGGCAGCGAACAGCAGGACGTCGTTCTGATCTGGGTGATGTGCGTCGCGGCGCATGCGACCCATGAACTCCAAGAATGCACGCCAGCCTGGGGCGTACGTGCGCTGTGTGCCAGTGGCTACTGAGTTGGCAATCAGGTGCTCTGCTCGCGCTGAGAGAGCGGTCGCTAGCGAGCCTAGGAGGACACAGGCACAAGCGCATACAACAGAAACACACACACGCATACGTCCGCACACGAGCATGTTCCCTAAACAGGCAGGGTGGCACGGCGGCCAAGCTGCGGTGTATGCGTGCTGCGCCGGGTCGCCGAACAGCGGCCCGCTTCCCGGAACGCACTGGCCCGGCGGCATGGCTGCGGATTGTAAGCAGGGGACCCGTGGGTTATGCTAGTGGAAGATCTCCCCCCTGACCTCGGCGGGGCGCTCTGGTACTGGTTTGGCCGAGGTTCGCCCCCATGCTGTGGGGCTAATGCAAATACGACCCGAGAGCCCCCTCCCCCCAGCCCCGCGGGGTGGGAGCCTCTGCTATTGGCCTAACCCATAGGTACTTAGCCTTGCGGGTGGACGCATGGGGGTGGCACGTAAGCGTTGGCTTGCGTAGCCGTGGCTTGCGGCGGTAAACGATCCTCCGGCGGGAGGTGGACATCCAGCGGGATGTTATGCAAGCGGGGCTGGCGACCCTGGACAGACACACAGAACAACAGACAGCGGGCGGCGCAGCCTTGGTTCGGCAGAGCCGCAGCTTGCAGCGGCAGTGTCTGTAAGCAATTCTTCGGCGGGAGTTATATGTTCGGCGGGATGTAATCCGAGCGGGGCTAGCGACCCTGGATAGGCACACAGAACAATACTAAAAGACAGCGGGCGGCGAAGCGTTGGCTCGCGGAGCCGTTGCTTGCGGCGGTGGTGTCTGTAGGCGATCCTCCGGCGGGAGGTGGACATCCGGCGGGATGTTATGCGCGCGGCTTGCGAGCCTGGATATACACGCAGAGCACAAGACAGCGAGTAGGTCAGGCTCACGGAGCCGTGCCCCTAGTATACATGCAAACCTACATCTGCTAGGTAGGCTTAACGCCCTCTACAATTTGCCTCGGTAGCATGGCAACACGGTGCCTGGCCCATATTTTGTTTGCGCCATGCGGGCCACACGTATAGCGTACATATGGAGCGCCCCCGAGTACAGCGGTCGCCGGCTCGGGGCCTGCGGGGTGTCGGCCCCCCCTTCCTCCCAAAAAGAAAAAGGGGGGGTTATAAGGGGCCGGATAAGCCCATTAAGCACACAGAGTGGTAAGATAGACCAAGAAGGGTTCGCCCCGGCGAGGGCATGGATCATTGCCAGCGGAAATTGTAGGTGGGTTAGTAGAGTAGGGTAAACAAAACAACAAGAAAAGAGCAGAGATGCCAGATGCTGGGCTGGGGGGACTACGGACGTACGGCGAGCCCGCGCAGTGGTAGCTGGGATTGCTGGGAGCTTGAATTGGCGGCTGGGGCGCCTGGCCAGCTCCAGACGGATGCGACTATCTGTTGTCGGACTGGGCACTGGCGAGTGACGATGGGGCAGTCTCCGCGTCGGGAACCAGACGGCGGAAGCGCTGGAACTGGGCCCGGGAGAGTGCGTCTGCGATGCTGTTGTCGACGCCGGCGATGTGACGGACGAGCAGGCAGAAGTTGTGGCGAGCGGTGAGTTGCATGGTGCTGCGTATCAGTGCCATGACCCCGGCGTGTCGGCATGTGCCGGACTCCCAGGCGGTGCACACTGCTGAATTATCGCAGTGCAGGAGGATCTTCTTCTGTGCCCAGTGGGGGCCCCAGAGTTGGCAGGCAATGGCGATGGGCCACATCTCTCTCCACATTATGGACGTGTACGGTGGGGCCTGCTGCGCAGCTGACCATGTGCCCGCGAACCAACGACCCTGGTAAAAGCCGCCGAAACCGCTGCCAGACGCGTCGGTGAACAATTCCAGGTCCGGGGACTTTGACCATACGGGGTCGCGTAGGAGGGCCTTTCCGTTCCATAGTGGGAGGAAATCCTGCCACCATTTGATGTCGGCGAGAGCCTCGCTGGTGAGGCGGACGGCCGCGGCAGGGCTGGTGACTGAGGAACACAGGTCGATGAGGCGGCGAGTGAACGTACGACCGGCTGGCACGACCTTGGCGGCGAACGCCAGGTGGCCAACGAGGGACTGGAGTTCGTGTTTGGACGCTGATGGCCGGGTGGCCCAGGCTGCTAGGAGTTGCCGCAATGTACGGAGCTTCTCGGCTGGGAGCCGCAGCTCCCCTGCCGCTGAATCAATGTCGATGCCAAGCACTGTGAGGCAGGTGGCGGGGCCAACAACTTTGTCCGGGCCGTCTGCTGTTGGGACACCCAGTTTTGCGAAGACCTGCAGAATAGTGGCTTTGTGGGTCGCGGCCGCAGAGGACGTGACAGACTCGGCTGCTGGAGACACTGATACGAAGTCATCCAAATAGTGCTCCAGTGCAGGGATACTGTAGTTATTACGGAGGATCCATTCTAGGGTGGTAGCCAGGCAGTTAAACAGACTGGGAGCGGAGCGTAGGCCAAATGGCAGGACAGTGTCGAAATATTAGTTGCCCTTCCATAACATGCCGAGGAGCGGCCAGTCGTCAGGGTGCACGGGGCAGAGTCGGAAAGCGTGCTTCAAGTCCACCTTTGACAGGAGGGCTCCGGGGCCCGTCCTGCGCACGTGGTCTGCTATCGTGTCAATCGTAATTAGGGAGAAACGATAGGCCTGCTTGTCAATGAACGAATTGACGCTGTTCCCATCGGGGCCGGACAGGTGCATGATGAGCCGGTGGCCGCCCGACTTCTTGGGGACCACACCTACGCCAGAGGTGCGCAGATGGACGAATGGCGGCGCGTTGAAGGGGCCAGCGGTGTGGCCGCGACTGCATTCCGTGGCCAGGTACTGGTCGACGACCTCGGGGTGTGCTGCCGCTGAAGACAAGTTCGGGCTGCGTACGGACACATCACGGGGTCCGGTGAACCCAATACGACAGCCGACACGTAAATTGCTAATTAGAGAATGAACAAATGCAGGATTAGGGTGCGCCAGCAATTCAGTGTGTAATGCATCAATATTGATAGGGGTGTTGGGGTGTAATGCAGCAATGTTCATAGGAGTGTTAGGTGGTGGGTGAATGCAAGAAAGTGGTGCCGGGGCTGATTGCTGTTCGTTCTTATTTCTTGGCTGGACAGGCTGACACGGCGTGCGAGCCTGAGCAGAAGAGGCAGGCGTGTCGAAAGCGACATGGGCCGCTGCAGGCGCCGTGATTGTAGCGGCGGCAGATTTCGGTTGATTTAGTGCTTGCACTCTTTTTCGCCTGCTTGCCGCGAAAGGCCGAGGTGCACGCTCCGGCCAAGTGCCCCACCTTCTTGCAAATGCTGCAATTGGGAAGGGCCTGACCCGTGAAACACGTCGCGAAAAGCTCCGTGTCGAGCTCCGCCAGGGATCGGCTTGGGTCCTCTGACAGGGCCTGGCGTGCCCGCGTGTCATAGTCCACGACTGCCGAGAAGCGGTACTTCCCGGCTGCCTGTACCATGCGTATTTGGTGCTGCATCAGTGCAGCGGCGCAGCGAAGTTGATCGCAGATGGCGATCAGGCTAAAAATAGACCATGCCTCGGTCCACGTGGCAAGGTTCTCAATTTTCCCTTTCGGTGCGCTTGTCACCGAAAGTGCCCCTTCCTCGTCTATGCGGAACCTCTTAGGGGCTGGCTCCCCGGTAGAAATAGATTTGGGCGGGAGCAGTATTGCCAGATCTATATACTCGACTCGTCTGATCCGATCCACTGTCTCCAACGAGACGTGCGAAATGCAGGAGGGGTAACCCATGTTCGTATGGTGCATTAATTGATCAGCACACATACCGTCTTCTTGGTGCTCCATGACGTTCTCCGGTGCATTGCCACTGAGGGCTGCTGCCACGCTGGCTGCCACGATCTGCTGGATAGACTCCATTTGTGAATCCGAGAAAGCCATGGTGGGTGTAAAGACTATCGCTGAGAGCGGAAGCTTAGAAGAAGACAATTTCAAACAATTTCTGCGGCGGGCAGGCACAACAAACAACTGGTGAATGTTTTTACTTGTTCCTGCCTTGCGAGGGTGGCCTTGGGTGAGCTTGCACCCAAGGCTGATAGGTGGCTTATACGGCATGCCGTACGCGCGTCGCGGTTGCAAATGCTTGAGTGGGGCCCCACGCGGGAGCCCGGCAGTGCGTACGACTTTAGCGGAGCTCGTATGAGACTTAGCCGGTTTTGGCGTGTCCGCGGACGGCATCTCCATGCGGGAGATGCGGCTCTGTGACATGTAGGTTAACTACGGTTTGCGCAACGCAAACCAACATATTTTGCCGTGCGAAACGGAACCGATTTATGTTCTCAAGCTGAGTATGGGGCCGTGGTCCGTAAGTACCAGCCTGGCCAACTTCAGGACAGCGAGTGCCGGTTGACTCCGTGTTTCAGCCGCGAGCTCCACGTCGCATGTATTTGCGTGCGTGTACGTGCACGTGTGTGTGTGTGTACATGAACGCGTGTGTGTGTGTGCGTGTGTGTGTGTGTGTACTGTTCAGCAACGTTGCTTTTTCCTTCGGCTTGACTCTGAGTACAGCGAAGACCAAGTCCATTACGGTTGGTGCAAGTTTATCATATGGGCCACAACCAGCTAAAACATGTCTTTGGGTGAAAATTTTCAAATTTTGTTTTCCTCCGGAAAACAGTTCTTGGGACCTTACTTGACCTCTTGAAGGTGATACAGGGCAGAAAAGTAGTCTACAAGTGCCCCAAACACCGCTTTCAAAATATGTACTTTAAAATAGAAAATGACAGTTTTCGCGCAGTCTGACACAAAGAGACACACTATTACAATAGTGGCTTTTGTGGCGGAGCACAATACAACGGAACTAAAGATGTTGACACCGACTTGAGCATGTCAACGACATCAGTTTAAAGGCATGGCCCAAGTTAGTTCTTCCTGGAAAGCAACAAGATGCGCTGGGCGGCGTTGCACTTGCATACTCTTTCGATTCTGGCAGTGACACTTTCGATCGTCGCCTGCGTTTCCGAGACTGCATCAGACGCCTCATGAGAGCTGAACGCAAGTAACGTCGTAAGGCAGCCGGTTCGCCGCCTAAATGATTATGTACTAGCCCACAACTTGTGCCTCTTCGCTACTGGAGACAATGGGGACGATTCAGCTTCGCTGTCGACATCAATATCAATGAGATCCCAACAAATTGTCAGCGTCGCTCTGCAGACCCGCCACCACGGACTTGCAGACACCTGAACAAACCTGGGCCATGCACAGCGATCGTCTGGCCCTGCGAGCTGCTCTAGTATCACTAGATGCGGACATTGTCAGTCTTTGATCGCCAGCTACTTGAAGTAGAACGCCAAACAAGTGTTTGAACAAAATTTGAGAAGATGATCGCCACATCATGAATCATTTTGAATGAAGTGCAAAGTGAACGCGCTCCAAAAAAACATTTTTTCATTTCGTAATTTCCCAACTTTTTTACGAAACCCCAAAGACATGTTTTAGCTGATCGCGGCCCATATGCTGACCACCTTCCGCTCTTTGTTGGTCTGGACGAGATCGAAAGTGTCAATTCCTTTGTGTATCTTGGCTCTCTGATAACTGTTGATACCCGCTCATCTGCAGATGTGGCCAGAAGACTCGGTAAGGCAGCGGTAGCTTTCGACCTTCTGCGCCGTATCTTTCTTGACCGAAACCTTTCCATCGCCACTAAGCGCCATCTTTACGATGTTTGCATCCTGTCCACCTTGCACTATGACTGTGAGTGCTGGACTCTGCTGAAGAGAGACATGGTTGCCATCAACAACTTCCACCACCGCTCTCTCAGGTTCATTCTGGGTACGTCCGGGCTCGATCAACAGTTGCAGCATGTCAACAATCAGGAGCTGTGAAGACACTGGAGTGATATAGCACAGCCATCTGATACCGTCAGACACTGCCGTCTGCAGTGGCTTGGGCATGTTCCCAGAATGCCATCCAACCGGCTTCCGAAGCCGATACTGTTCAGTTTCTTCTCAGATCCACGCCCAGCCTGTGGGCCACAACTGCGATGGAAAGACCTCGTCGCACGTGATCTTCGTTTCAGTGGCATAACAAACTGGCTCACCTTGGTGCAGTAGTATGGGCAGAGATTTCCAATCGAGGGGTTGTGGGTTATATTCCCGATGAATATGGTCGCACTCGTCTTTCTTCTCCTTCTCAGACTCTTCCTGACTTTTCCTTCATTCTCCTGGGTGGTTACCATGGTTAGCAACAGCCAGTGGATGCAGGAGTATGTGTATGTGGTGTGATGTGTTTGGGGAAAAAAATTAAAAAAACCAAAAAGTAGGGATTCACTGTTCTGGAAAAGTCACTTCATAGTAGGGGTGAAACGAGTATCTATTTTGACCAATCGATCACTCGTTCATAATATTCGATCGAGTATCCGATTATTTCGAGTATTTTATCAAAATTCAAAAGGGCTAGATTTGTGAGTTCTCCACAAATTCGGGAAGAAATTATCTGTCAACATAAAACAAAAATCGCCAACGTCTTGTACAGAGTGTAAAGTAACGATTTTCATCAGTACTTTCATATCTCAGAACGGTAACTGACGTTACTTGCCGTGGTGATTGCATCGTCCAAGTCATAAAATACTGACTCAAAGGCATGCATTACACATGTATACCAGTGGACGAGCGGTACAACAAAAGTTTTTGAAAAATAGAATGCCAATACTAAAAAAAAAAAAAAAAAAAAAAAACCGATCGAGTGCAAAATTTCGAATACTCGCTCGTTTGAAATTTTCGAACGAATACTCGAATATTCGAACTAATCGTTTCACCCCTACTTCATAGCTATGTGGCGTAGACCAGGCTGAATTGTGGTGGTCAAGTCCTCAGCCTTGCAAGCTGTTGATTGGCGCAATCCCTGCACAAGTTGCTATGGCTTCTGCTGTAGCATCGCTATCATTGCCTCCGGCGATGGGCATCAAATGGGCAAGTGGTGTGTGTGTGTGTGTATGTGTGTGTGTGTGTGTGTGTGTGTGTTTGTGTGCGTGTGTGTGTGTCTAAGCCAACTGTGCACTGCAGTGTTTGCGACCGCCATCTTAGTGCGTCTGGGTACGAGCGGCATATGTGCAGTGCGGCCCGTCAACTTCCTGTCAGCCAACAGCCTGGTGCAAAGTCGTGTCAGCGTTGTGGTGGATGGTTCAAGAGTGCTGGTTGGGCTGAAGGTACATAAGTGCCCTCTCGTAGGTTCCTCCCAACAGCCTTCGGATTCTGTCGATCCTGCACCTTGCCTAGTGCTTCAACACCAACATTGTCGCCCATTCCACTGCCCGTCATGTAACCGGTGCTTTCGATCTGCTGCTGGATTTAAACGGCACAATTGCGAGCGTTGGCAAGCGACCAACAGCGAGGGAGCGTCTTGAGTTGTGCGTGCGGCGAAAGATATCGCAGACAGCAGGATCTGCAGTGGCATGAGACCGGATGTTCTGCCGCGACGCAGTGATGCTACCCCTTTGTACCCCTCCTAACGAGGGCAGCTTAGCTGTTTAACGGCAGCTGTTTGTCAAGGTCAAGGGGTGTGTGTGTGTGTGTGTGTGCGAGGGCGTGCGAGGACTTGCGAGGGCGTGTGTATGTGTATATGTACATGCATGTGTATGTGTGTATGTGCAAATGCAGGTCAAAAGAAACAGGAATGTTTCATATTATTATTATTGTTTATCACTCTCTTAGTATTGACTCCCAGTAATTTTCGCTATACCTAAGCAGTCAAATATTCCTGCATATTTCACTCCTTAGGGCTATATTGACTGCTTGTATTTGACTGCTTATGGGTTGCGCAGTTGAACAGTGCCTAGTGCAGCATGGTCATTGTAGGAGTAGGTGATGGTGCAACGGTTGTGCAATCATAAAACCGGGATTCATGAGGTCATCGTTCTGGAATTTGAAACACGGACTGTTTGTTGTGAAAAATCTAATATTGACTTCGTACTTGGTCAGTATAGGCAAATAAAAACCTCGTAAAAGACCTAAGCTTCGCCTCCGTCTTTTACTCAGCTTTTATATCCTACATTGACCTCGCACTCAGCCAATGTTAGATACGTATCATTTTTTACTTGGTTCATGTAAAAGTTGCACCTCATCTCTACATGCCCATTTTCTTGTCCCTTTCCCATATGCAACAGGCCTTCCCACCTATCGCTGGTCCACTCCGCCACTCCCCCATGCCATAGCAAGACGCTCCCCGCAGCACTTGATGGTACCATTACCGGCTGTTCCAGGATCTCCCAATCTGACCGTCGAATTCGGCAAATTTGGCGCAAATTATTCCCAGCTGGTCAATACGTCGGTCAGCCGAATAGAAGGAATTGTAAACTTGACGTCCAGTCGCCATTACAAGTTTCGTGTGTCCAGTCCTGCGGATTACGGAATCTTTGGTCAAGCTGCTTTCTCCATGGAAGCGGCGTTCTACATTCCTAGTACGTATGGGTCACACACACGCACACACACACACACACACACACACACACACACACACACACACACACACACACACTCACACACACACACACACACACACACACACACACACACACACACACACACACACACACACACACACACACACACACACACACACACACACACACGCACGTACGCACGCACGCACGCACACACACACACACACACATACACACACACACACACGCACGCATGCACGCACGCACTTACACACACACACACACACACACTTGGCGCTCACTGGCATAACTGGTGACGTGGGTCTCCCCGGGAGAGGGGTATACTTGCTACTAGTGTGGGCGGCTAAATCAGAGTGGATCCGATATAAGCTTCACCAGCACCATTGATTACACACGAGTTAATCTAGCCAGAAGCAGTCCATGGTTAACAGGCATGTAAACTTCAATTATAAAGCATAATGAACCCTGGAACCAACAAAGGTGACAGGTACAACAATACAACTTCAAGCAGCCGAGCCTGACAGCAACAGAGCCAACACAATCAGGCATAAGTGTACCCACCAACCGAACTAGCTGGCACACACCATGTAGACCCAGGTGCTTGAAGTCCGTACACTTTTACAGTGTGTGTTTGCCGAGCTGAAACTCACGCTAGCAATGATCACTTGCCAGAATCCTGCGCGTGGATGGAAGGTATCTTGTCCAAGTTTGTTCTGAGGCCAGGCTCGATTTAACCAGGCCATCTTTCGATCCGATCTGTTTCTTTGGAGTTCGCTGATTTTTCACATCAAATTTTGGTGTCGCAGAGGGTACTCTAAGTCCGTACTGATCAGAGGTGACTAGAAATACACACATATTTCTGCTAATTGCTAACTTGCAATCCCTCGGTTACGACGAAAGCACCGAAGGGATATGTTTGGCATGTGCCTCCACCAGTATTTCTTGCAAAAGCGTAGTTTGTTGCCGAAATGCAAGCTGATTTAGTCGGCTCAGAGAAGAAGCAGCTGCGCTGTGAGAACCGCGGGAAAACAGTGGTGGAGATGCCAGGAGTGTCAACCTTTCTGCAAGGATTGGTGGTTCTCTGTAACTTCTTCTCCTCCGGCCATTCTCAGCTCTAAGCTGGCTCTTGATCATTGAGTGAAGGTCTGTTTGACGCTGTGTCCGTTCGAAATCGGTCTTGGCAAAGTTGATTTTTGCATGAAATGTAACTCAATTTTTATTTCGTATGGACACTCGAAAACCCACTCGCGTGGTATGGGACTTCTGCTTATCGTAGATCCCTGAAAATTGCTACGCGAGGAGAACATACCACACTGTCCCCTCCATAAAATATTTGAGTCGAATACAATAACAGAACATGAAATTATGGGCGTACGAACTTAGGATACCATCAAGAGTACATAACCCCCCAGAGTGTGCAACTCCACTATGGGTGCTGTCCCGACAGAATTTCAAGTTGACGTCATTTTGATGATGCAATGCGCACTGTACACGGATTATCAGACGAATCCGGAACCTGTGGTCGACCGAAGCCGATCGATCCTGTACAAATTATTGCAAAGAAAAACGTGTGATGCGTTGACACCCGTACACATGTTGTAAATCACTGCTGCAAGGAGCATTGCGTCATAAATAATGACGTCAACTTGAAATTCTGTCGGGACAACAGGGTATGTGGGAGTTGCACACTCTGGGGGGTTATGTACTCTTGATACCATGTACGGACTTCGAGCACCTAGGTCTACTATGGATACGCCCGTTGCAAGAGAAGCACGCAAATCTGCAAATGCACTGGATGTGCACCCACGGATTTTCTCCTTTTAGCAACGGCAGCAAACAAGATCTGAATGAGACAGATCAAGACTTGCGCCAGATAACTGTCTAATCGGCACAACTGGCGAAGCCATGTGAATCGACCACCAATGCACACCTGGTCTACACCACACGGAGTACATCGGCATAAAACGGCCAAGGCAAGTATCTATGCGCATCCTACATTTGATGGGGTAACCAGTATAGACAGAACGCTGCTTTGATAAAAGCAGACACTACATGCACTGGTACCTTGAAGTGAAATTGGAGTTACTTTCTGTATCTATAAAATTCTCCATCCCACACTGCTGACACGGAATGACAAGTACGCTGCCCAGGCCATACCTCTTCTCTTCAACGCAATCAATGAGCGCCAGAGGTTTGCCACATCCAGGATTCTGGCACGCAGACAATCCCACAGCCAGATACGTGAGATGAACAATATCGTCGACCGTGAAGAAGGGCACTGAACGACTTCTTCGCGGGAGTTGAATCCAGTGGCGTTGGTGGTGGAGGTCGCCCTTTCTGTTTTTCAGGAACTTGATTGATCGTTTGACCTTTGCGAAGCGTCCCCCTCCTCGCCTTCTTGAATCGTCCAGTACGCAGAATGCGAGGCCGCGTTGTGGGTGACGGATTACTCTCCGGAGTCTTCATTTCCACGACACGTCGGCAGGAGAACCGAGCTATCCAAAAACCGCCGACGTCAAAACGAATCCGCCAGTGCACTAGTGGCTGAGCTTCTTCCTCAAATCTTGTCTCGACTCGAGCACGCGCTGCGAGGTACTAGGTCATGGGCGAACTACTTAGCCTTTAGTACTTACTCGAATGTGCATGATCGCGTCCCATTTTTCCACTCCGAACGGCATTATTTTTCAGAATTTTTTTCGGAAATCCAACATGGCGCTAACCGTCGCGAACCCCCTTAAGGCTTCATGCAGCTTCGACTCTGAAAAAAAGGAATCCGTGTGCACACACCCTTTCCCATAGCAGTCCGTGTGCCCAGCCTTTGAATTCCTATAATCCTGACCATGCTTCTGCCCGGGATAAGTTCAGGGCTCACAGCAACCATGCCAAAACCTCGATTATGTGGGAGGACATCTTGGATCTGATCGCCATAGAAACGAACTCGCGTGACCGCTAAGCGCAGGCGTAGAACGCAGTCGCGCAAGGTCGTGAATGGTGAAGGAGATGGCCGGAGATTGTCTCATTACCTCTGTTTCATTTCGGTAGTTCTTGTTTCCTTCCAAGCGGATTATTTCGCGAGCAGTGTTGGCCTTATCGGCCGAAGGCTTCATTCAGACTATCCGCACACGGAGTCCTGCGAAAAGTGGCCCCGAGCAGAATCCTGCAGTCGTTGACGAAAGAGTTCAACATCTAGAGCCGGGCAGCTACGCCGCTGATGCACAGGCGCAGGTGACGGGAGAGGAAAAGGACAAGCATGCCTTGTCGGCATGGAGCAATGACTCACGTCGTGTTCTAGTTTTAGTTTCTCCGCCGTGAAGTCCTGTTGTGTAAACGTAAATATACGGCTGGTCTGCGAAGAGCCGTGTAGCGCAGTGGTGACGATATGGAGTTGATTCGCCACTCCGTTTCGTTGCAAGAGAACAAGTCCAATGGCTTCGCCGTTGTGCTGGCCATGTATTTCTTCGGTCTGCCATAACCATGATAACTCCTGGAGGACACAGCGATGAAGCGCCAGGCGAGTAGCAAAAACATTTCAAAAAATTGCTTTGCTGCTAGTGTTGTTTCCGCATTCACAACAGGTGCAGCGCGCGCTTTTCTTCCTCGCGGCTGCACTGCAGATATGGTTGCCTTCAAAATGTTCGTTGTACCCGTCTCTGGTCCGATTTTGATGGCCAATAGCTTTAAATCTTCAGTAGGAAAATAGAAGAACTTCTCCGAGAGACTTTTCAATTTTAGTCCAATAATCCTAATCAGAATTACGCCTGCACCAACTGATACTTTGGCCCCATATGTACGCCAAACCGTCTCGATTAAAACAAAAAACTCTCGGACAAATCCTTACAATGGGTATTGAGAGTATGTTCCTAGAGTTTCAGAGGCCTGGGCAAAAGCATTGGTACAAATGAATATTTTGAATGCACGACACTTTCAAGTTTTCAGAGATATCTGCGTGATCGCGTCTACACGATTCTAGCATGCTGGCTGGCTCGTGTGACAGCGGCCTGTTCAAAATGGCGCCCACGCTTTTGTGTGATGCTGTGAGCCCTGAAGATGTGTGCCTTAATTGTATTGTAAGGTGTTAGGGCAGTACCAGTAGGTTATGTTATGTCTACAGCCAGCACACGGACTGCGCCACCACGGTTGACTTCGGAGACCCAGGAGTGGTTGAGTGACGTGAGAAGGTCAGATGTGCTGAGCCTCTGCCGGAATCCGTACTGGTGGATGGACAGAGCCTTGTGTGTTGAAACGAGCGTATCTATAACAAACGAGCGATCAGTTCCACTAACGAGCGAGCTAACAAGTTTCATCAAGAGTACCTAACCAGGTTATGTACTCTTGGTTTCATTTATGTGGCAAATATGATTTTTTGAATTCATTTTCTAAGTTCGATTTTTTCAGCTGTTTCAAATATCACCGCCGCATTGGGGTTGTTTCTGCTTCACTTCGAACCGCTCTTTGATGTCGAGATGTCCTTTCAGCGCCGTCGTTGAGCAGCCGTTGTAAGAATAGACCGTTTTGCAAAGATTCCAAGTAGCCCTGTTCTTCGCTGCATCGCGGGTGTTGTGAAACCACAAGTTCTCGAGAGTGAAAGGCCTTCTCGCTTGTGACATTGTGTTCGTTCCAATGCAGTTGTATTCCGACTCCGCCGTACCGTTGATGTTTACGACGTAGTATGCGCTACATGCGCTATGTGCGGTTTGCTGAGTGCGCTGTAGTTGTATGTTGTATGTGTATGCTTTTCTCATATACGCTGTCATTTTCACGCTATAACTACCTGGTGGTTTTAGTGTTAGTCATTCAGTTGGTTCAGTTAGTTTCGGTTGTTCATTCATAGTTCATTGTTGTTAGTCGATGGAAGTGAAATATACTGTTGAGAATAAATAGTTGTCCTCGTGCCGTGTGGGGTCGTTCGTTCCTGACACTTTAGAGAACCAGAGGGTTCACAACATTTGGCGACCACGCCAGGATACGAAGCGAGCATGGCACAGGAACTATGGATCATTGAAGCCAGCTTTATCGCTAACGGAATTCGGTATGGATTTACAGGCGATAGGTTGAGAGAATACGTGGAGAAGAGGCTCCGACAGAGCGAGGAGTTTGAAGAGCGCAGTGCTAGACGGCAAGAGTGTGCGCTCCGCGCAGAGTTTAACGAAAAGCTCAAGAAGATGGCCGAGCGCATCGCCGTCAGTACATATTATGAGGAAGCAAAGCGAGATTTGCTTGCCTCGCCCGGAAGGACGCCGGACAAGGCGTGTAAGACTTTGCTTACAGACAAGCAGCGGTCAGAAGAGTGCTTGAAGCCAGTGGGAGGATCAGATCCAAGGCCCACTGCGTCGGTACAGAGCATGGCGACATCGGTCGGAGACGCTCAGAAGCAGCTGGAGTCTCGGCCGAACAACGTAGAGGCGCAAGACGTAGAGGCGCAAGACGTCGAGGCGCAAGACGTAGAGGCGCAAGACGTAGAGGCGCAAGACGTAGAGGCGCAAGACGTAGAGGCGCAAGACGTAGAGGCGCAAGACGTCGAGGCGCAATAGTTAGAGGCGCAAGAGTTGGCGCAAGAGTTGCAGGCGCAAGAGTTGGAGGCGCAAGAGTTGGAGGCGCAAGAGTTGGAGGCGCAAGAGTTGGAGGCGCAAGAGTTGGAGGCGCAAGAGTTAAAGGCGGAAGAGTTAGAGGCGCAAGACTTCGAAACGCAAGGCGTAGAAGCCGAGAAAATGAGAAGGGCGATACTACTGGTTAGCACGGAAGAAGTAAGCGGCGAGACTGTGTGGATCACAGAGATCCGATGTGTGTCCTCGGATTCCGCGCCCGCCGCGGGTCGAAGCAGTGTACCGGTGACCATGTCGTGTGTGACAGCCCACATCGTCGAGCTTTATGACATTATCGGTTGTGTGTTGTCTGGTCCAGCGTCTACCCCATGTCGAAGTGGATCGGTGACAGTGTCGTGTGCGACAGTCCACAGCGGCAAGCTTCGCGATGTCGAGTTTTCTGAATTGGTGGGCATTAGTGATATTCTACCATGGCCACCACCGCAGCAGAAGATGACGCGTTGTAAGCCCCAAATCGTTTGACTTGTGAGTTGTTGTACGGCGGTGAGAAGCCCTTTGGTGGGGAGAATGTTGTGAAACCACAAGTTCTCGAGAGTGAAAGGCCTTCTCGCTTGTGACATTGTGTTCGTTCCAATGCAGTTGTATTCCGACTCCGCCGTACCGTTGATGTTTACGACGTAGTATGCGCTACATGCGCTATGTGCGGTTTGCTGAGTGCGCTGTAGTTGTATGTTGTATGTGTATGCTTTTCTCATATACGCTGTCATTTTCACGCTATAACTACCTGGTGGTTTTAGTGTTAGTCATTCAGTGAGTTCAGTTAGTTTCAGTTGTTCATTCATAGTTCATTGTTGTTAGTCGATGGAAGTGAAATATACTGTTGAGAATAAATAGTTGTCCTCGTGCCGTGTGGGGTCGTTCGTTCCTGACACTTTAGAGAACCAGAGGGTTCACAACAGCGGGAGGAAACTTCCAAACGGCTCAGCTTAACTTTCACTCGAATGGAGAGGTGACCGAAGCATATCCTGCGACAGGTCAGCAGATGCGGAACAAGACATCAGTAGAGTCCACCAAAGGTGCAACGACAACTGAAACAACGCAGTGTTGTGCAGGCATACAGTCACTGTAACTGTGAGTGATTCTCACTTTGTGCGAGACTGGACTGCCGTGTTTACGGAGTACGGTGTACGGTGTTCATTAGTGCAAATAAGCTGGCCGCACAAGCGAGCCGAGTTTCTGGTGAGCGAGCTAACGAGTACCCGGTGAGATCGTTTCAACACTAGTCCAGAAGTTTTCAAGAGTGCCAGTATTATCACTTGACTTATAGGGCCGTTTTAGTGAGGACCTGTCAGTTTTTTCTTGGATCCTATATATAGGATTTGAGTATTCTGCATTATCCAGAGTGTTGTAATGGATGCAGATGATGATAGAACTGGCAGGGAAAGTAATATAGAATGCCTAGTATGCTGAATAAGTACACAGATACCATGAATAGATGTGTCTGATTGAGTGGGGAGTACTACCACAGGTTGGCATATTTAGTGCTTTTAACCGTACTACAGCGGAAGCTTCACCCGAAAATTGGCCGATCGGCTAGAAGGTTGGATTATTCCTACGGACGTATATGGAAAACAGTTCCAAACACCTCATGAAACCATTTCATCAATTTTCATAGGTTGTTTACCGAAATCCTTTATCCAGAAACCTAATCCTATCATATCTAGGTTTTGCTGGTGACAGCTTAAGAGATACTACATGGTTATCCTCTCTATTCTATCTCCCTTCCGTGCCTGTTTTTTCTCCCCTCCCCATTCTCTTTCTGTCCTCTCCTCCTCTAAGTCGTCTCCTTGTGAGAAGGCACCATTGCCTGTTTGGTTGAACGGCTATAAATAAACACAACAAACAACAAACAAACAAAAACCTCAACATATTTGCTAGTACTTCCACTATCTGGCTGAGAAGCCATTTTGCCGGTTAGTGTGTGTCAGTGGCAGCGTGGTGCATGAAGTGGTCGTGGAGTGTGACCAGTAAAACTGCGCTCTTTGCGAGCAGTTGCTCTCCAGCGAGCATGAGTGTTGATGGTAAAGCCGTGTGTATGTCCCGCTGTGCTAGGGTAATGGCGTTTGGCTGGTGGTCTGTACTTGCGTAGCTGTCTACTGTAACCAAGGCCAGGTACGCCTTGTAGAACTTGGTACAGTAGGGTGTGTCCTCCGAAACAGTGATGCCGCCATCCTTCAGCTTTGCTACCACGACCTTGTACTTTATTATTATTTCACCGTCCAATGGCAGAAGCCAATGCAAAGGAGGGGGCGTTAGCCAGCCATGGCAAGAGAAGAAAAAAAAGAAGAAAAAAAAAGAAGGAATGAAGGCAAGATGATAAATCGGAAGAAAATAATGCATCAGCGGGGTGAAATGTATCACTATGTTGACCATGGTGGAGCCTTTCGCAATGGCTCAAGCTCCATTGGTGCATAGCATTTGCCACAGTGCTGTGCTCACCGCCGTTGGTCAACTGGCAATAGTACAGTGCTTGGAGGACACCACTGCATCCTTCATGTCCTGCCCATCCTGCAACGGCAGCTAGTCAGTTTGTGTGGATGGATAGTGTGCAGTAGTAATTGCATTGGCATCGCAATCTGCCACCGAGCATTGCCGATGTCGGACAGGTGGTGTGTCCAGGGTGCTGCTGCTATTGGTAGTGGTGGTGCACCGGTGCTGCTGCTGCCGCTGCTGCTGCTGTTGCGTATAAGGGATTTCTTGCAAGACCAGCGAATACATTCATGGCCCTGCAAGTCCTGTGCATGCGCGTACCTGTTGGTTGCCCATGGTGCAAAGATTATTTGTTGCCAGTTGCTGATTGACGTGTTGTGGGTGTACTTCCCGTCAAGTGCATTCACTCCACATATGCCACAGGGACCACATGAACGCTGTGGCTGGAGGTCTGCAGCATGGCTGCGCCTGCCAGACATGGTGTTTCAAGTCTAAAACATGTAGAAAATACAGAAAAACTGGGTATATGAAATTGGCTGCCCGGAAGGTATGGTAGCCCGGACACGAACGAACTCCGGATGTGAGGAGAAGAAGACTTACTGCACCCCAGGCTGTTTTAAGTATGTCACGGTGAAGCCGTGGCTAAGGTCTTGGCACTAAATGAAACTTTTGAATACGAGAATCTCGTCGAAACGGCAGTCCGGATAAGAAGACCATAACAAAATCGTCATAAGCACTGCGCAAACTTTTAACGCAATTTCGGGAATAAAATTAATATTCCTGATACGGATCAATTTCGGCAAAGGCTGATGCGATACGAAGGAATAGCTCAATAAAACGTAAAATTCACAGGTTGTCAATGAACATTAAGGTATGCCTCTCACACTATCTTCTCTCTCGATACTCAAATTTCGCGCCGCGCGGAAAACATAAGTCACGGAAAAAGAAGTTTTTTTTGAATCTGGCGATCGGACTGATAGCACTGCACATCCGAACCAGTTCCTTAAGGGCCTGGTCAGACTTCGGCAAAAAAGAAATAATCCTGTGATTATAATCCCAATCTCCATAGAAACTTGACGCCAGAGCGGTGAAATCGAGAGTTGACGCTCCAAAAAGCAAGAATGGACAATCCTTTTTTTGCTCCAAAACAGGGGTTTGACGCTGATACGCCATTGACGCTGATAGTCACTGAAAACCTAAGCAGACGGTCAGTGTATTGTTGTGAACATCAACTTTGTAATTATTGATGTGGCCTTTCCTGTGGACTGCAGATTGGTGCAACTATATGGGACTCTATTATGACGATGACGAAACTATTTGGAATCGCTGTGCATTTCGTGCTTGCACATGTAGGGTGAGTATCTATCCATTCTTATTACCAGTGAACTGTTAAACGAGAGAGCTTGGAAGCTCAGGGCCCTACGTTATGCTTTTGTGCCTTGATGGCCTAGGCAAAAAAAGCATAGGGATGTTATAAGTTGTTTTCAAGACATAACCTGGGATTCAAACCCGCACTATCGCCCTGCATCAGGCATGCATCCCCCGACACACTTCGCATACATACTAATTCTTCCAAGTTGCTTCACGTTATGATCTTGCATTTGAAAGCCCTATTTGAATATCGTGGCCAGCTGTTTGTGGCCAGCCGTCTTTGATGGTACGGCACTCGATCAGCTAATTGTTCTGTCTTCAAGAGTGGCTAAAGCACTCGACAAGCGCACTGACTAACACGCTCTATTCTTGGATTTTGCGAAAGCGTTTGACAAGGTACCGCACACTGTTCTTCTCCATCAGCTCGCTACTATCATATCCCCTGAAGCCGTTTCTTGGTTCACCAACTACCTCAGAGACCGTTCCTTCTGTGTCAAAGTTCTCTCTGCCAAATCGCCGACCCACCCAGTTTCTGCAGGCGTTCCCCAGGGATCTCACCTTGGCCCCATTCTTTTCATTCTCTACATTAATGCCCTTCCCCGAACCACATCGTCTGATGTCACTACTGATGTGCTCTTATTTGCCAATGACACTACTCTTGGGAGAGCAGCCGGAGGACCTAACCAACAACAAATGGTCCACCCCCTCCAGGCCGCCACTGATGGCGTTCTGCAGTGGGCTGATTCAACACTTCAAAGTCTTGCACCATGCAGTTCTCTCCTAGAAGTCGTGCAGAACGTGCCCACCCTTCCCATCCGACTCCGCACCTGAGAATGCAGGGAGATGACGTGTCTGATGTAACGACTCACCCACACCTTGGGGTCAACCTCGACTTCACCAACCACGTCGCCACCATCACGACAAAGTTTCGCCAGCGAGCAGTCCTGCTGATCCACATGACCAAGCGTATCACCCCAGCCGTAGCCAGCCGTTTGTGCACTGGATATGTTCGACCTGTGGTTGAATATGCCACATCCCTCTGGCAATTTCAACTCTCCAGTGCTCAGGCTACTACCCTTGAACGGCTACAGGCAAGAGTGGCACGTGTGATCCTACGGAAGTATGGCGTGTACCCTCCTCAAACGGAGCCGAAAGCCTCACTTTTCGCGCACCTCCAGTGGCCCAGCCTCGCATGGCGAAGACACATTCAGTGCCTTCCTGAGCTCCACCACCTTATCAATAGCCAGATGACGACCCTGGAGGACCTAGGCTACTCAGTGTCAAACAGCGCCAGGCGCCCCCAACATCTACTCCCACCTGCTAGAGCCAGCACACACACCTGTGCCACCTTTCTCTTTGTCACCACTGCCACATTGAACTCCCTCCCGGCTGCCATTCGTACTGTATCCAGCCTAAAATGTTTTACCGCTCTTGTCCGCACACACTTTGCTATCACCCGTTATGAGCCCTCTGGTTTCATTCCACGTAGAGTAGCGATGTCATAGAGCACTGTGTTATATTACTACCACCCCGCATCATTCTATTTCCTTTTTTTTCTCCTCAGCTTCTTCTTCATAAGCTGTTGACGAAGACTCCCTCGATTTAGGCTAAGGCCCGTGGAGAATCCATAAATGCAAATACAATACGGGACAGGTACGGTCGAGGGTAATACGACACCGTCTACCACCTTGATGACCTAGGCAAAAAAGCATAGGGCTGTTATAATTGTTTCAATTCTCCTATTTTTTAGGCATAACCTAGGATTCGAACCCGCGCTATCGCCCTACATGCATTCCCCAATACACTTCGCATTCATACTCATTCTTCCAAGTTACGTCACATTATGATTTTGCATTTGAAAGCCCTATTTGAATATTTTGGCCAGCTGGCCAGCTGTCTTGGATGGTGCGGTACGGTACGGGACAGATACGGGATAGCGCCAAGCGTGTCTAATACATGTCTTTGGGTTTTCGAACAAAGAATGGAGAAATGATGGAATGAAAACATGTTTTGTCGAGCCCGTTTATGCTGCGCTTCATTCATGAACCGGTGGCGATCATCTTCTCAAATTCTTTCAAACACTTGTTTGGCGGTCTAGTTCAAGTAGCTGCCAAGCGAGGACTGACAATGTCCGTGTCTAGTGACATTAGAGCTGCTCGTAGGGCAAAGCGATCGCTTGGCCCGGGCTTGGTCAATAATGTTTTTGTCCACCGCACACGTCAGCCAATACTGGATTCAGTAAACCGTGCTCCTACTGTAGGTCCGTCACATTGATTCAATATCGAATATCTAATGTTTAGTGTATGAACCACATAGCTGGCTGTACGTCTTGAAGAAATGAAGAAAATCTATCGGGCCAAATTTGGGAAACACCCCACGGATTACTGATACTAGCCTTCCGAACCGAATGAGATTGTTAGTATGGACAGCCAAGAACCCTGAAAAGAAAGCCCAGCCACCCTATTTGGCTTGGCTGCAGAAATCACCACTCACATACCTCAAAAGAAAACTACAACATTTAGTCTGAACAATACAGTAGTAGAGGTGAAATGCTGGGATGTGTTTTTGTGCAAAATACTCCTATTAAATACCAGAAATTTTAAATCAGGTTTTAACTATGAAGAAGTGTTTCAAACCAATTTGATCGAAGTGTTTCAATCCCATTTTTCGGGACTAATTATATTGATTATATTGATGGCTATGCCCATGATTAACTGTCAAAATGGGGCTCAAGTGCGGGCAACTGGCACACATTCCCCCCGAAAAAAACTCCATCAGAAAACGACACGCCATCAGCAGGTCAGAATGTATCCTTGTTATCAGCCTTGTCGCTTTGTCTTCACCAGGCAAGCTTGGCTAATCTTCTCTTAGGCCAAATGGAACGAAGAATGAGGAACAGGCGGGGTTGATGAGGCGCTTATATGCATGCAACTGCAGAATAGGCAGCACAGATAATATCAAAACACTCAGAAAACTGCAGATCAGAATGCATAGGTCACATGTACTAATGATCGAAGAAGCTGGTAAAACGACTATGTGGATGAAAACAATTAAGGAGTTGTTTGCTAAAACTTATGTGGAAGCACTCGTTGTTCCAGCACAATTGGATTGCGCCTCGACTTACTATTGACTGCCAATGCAGACAACAGGAGGACTTCCTTGAATCTTCCAACAGGGAACGCCTTCACGAAAGTCCCACTCCTTGCTCTGGACACAGGTTATGGTGTGCGTGGATGCAATCTTATAATGCCATCTTCTTTCTCGTTGCATCTTTTCTACTCTACAAAGTACATATTATACCTGAAATGTACACACCCAGAGACAAATAGGGCCGCATTGGAGATGGAAATGAATAAGTTTGACACAGGCGCCGTTTTGTACCATTGGCGCTGCTCAGGTAACTGTAGTGGAGTAACAGAAAGGTGAAACGGTGGCCAGTCAGAAATTTGAAGGAGGGCTTAGGCTGCATGCAGCTTCGGCTCTGAAAATAAGGAATCCGTGCGGAAACACCCTTTCCCATAGCACTGCACATCCAAACCAGTTCCTTAAGGGCCTGGTCAAACTGAGGCAAAAACAAAATAATCCTGTACGGATTATAATCTCCATAGAAACTTGACGCCAGAGCGGTGAAATCTAGAGTTGGCGCTCGAAAAAAAGAAGAAGCAAGAACAACATTGGACAACGCTTTCCCCTCCAAGACAGGAGTTTGACGCTGATACGCCATTGACGCTGATATTCACTGATTTTTTATCTCGATATCGAGGAGCTAATAGGCTACGGACAACAACAAAACTCATAAGGATGGTTGCAAGGATTGCACTGAAGGTGTTCGCGATTACTGAGGTGAAGGAATTTGCCGTTGTTCGTGGAAATTACAACTTAACGCTCGAAATGAACTTTGAATTTTCATCCCCCCCCCCCCCCGATGTGCAGTGTGGTCGCGATCTTAATCTTGACCGATTTTCTTTTTCGTCAGCCGCCGACAATTTGCCGCAGTCTGACCACTACACATTGTTTCAGCACATGGTCATCATCAGGTAATAAGAACAATCATTGTTCAGTTACCTGATGATCGCGAAGTGCTGAAACGCTGTGAAATAACGGAACTGGTTCGGATGTGCAGCGCTATGGGAATGGATATGTCCACCAGAATTCCCTATTTCAGTCAGAAATCTGCTGGCAAAAAAACATTGAAACAATAATGCCTGAGTTTGTACAACACTCAATAGGATTTCATTGAAGTTGAAGTAGGGCAACAGATGCACAAGCAATTACCGTAAAGTACCGCCAGAGTGCCCCGTCTCGTGTAAGCGCCCTTTAGGCACCCAAGGTGGCAGAGGTCGTATCTGTTCACGGGAAGACAGATGAATCCAGGGACATACCGGCCTGGTGCCTAATAATTACAACCCCGAGGAGAGGGAAACGTTGTCTAATAGTTGTTGTTTATTTTAGAACAAAGAGGAAGAAATGTCTCATGCGCATGCGTATATCTAGTGAGGGAGCTGACGTCATGCAGCGAGGTCGCTACAGCCCCACCTTGATTTCACAGCCAAGGAAAGGAAAATCGTATGGCAGAGTGCAACGAAGTTTGTACGGTGTGAGAACCTTATAGTACAGAGGTTCTGCTATACGTGAAACGTAGAGAAATCATGTAGAGAGCAGGTGTCTGGGCTAGAGTCTACGGCTTCGCGTGTTTTGGGTGCAGATTTCTACGCGTAGATGAGGTTCTCTACGTTGTGGCACACGCAAAGAAAATGCATACGGATCTGCTGGGTATCATTCGAGTTAGGCCTTGACAGATTATGCTAATATTTTCGTGAAATTATGCTTTTCGCATTGCTGAAAAAATTGCAGAATTATGCTATTTTTATGCTAAAAGTTATCATATTATGCCGCATTATGCTCACATATGCTCCTAATGTATAATGGTTCTGTGCAAAATAACAAGAGATTTTTTTTGCAGAGGGCATTGTACTGTAGTAGCAAAAGTTCAACGGGGTCAACGCACCGTCCGACCTAGCTACGACCGTACCTGATTGTACTGGACCGGACATGTTATCAAGGGAGTCGTAAATCTACGACTTCCTGGCGCATCTACTTGTACTTGTACTTGTAGAACATGTACAACTGTATGGAATTTGATGCGAACAGGCGGATTATTCCAATTTTATGCGATTCGTATGCAATTCGCCTCGAATTATGCGATTATTCGATTTTGGTAGGAATTATGCGAAAAAGTATGCTAGCATAATCTGTCAAGGCCTAATTCGAGTGCAGGCAGAAAACTGCCAAATATGGAAAGGGAAATTCCCAATACACATTCCACGTGACTTCTCTACGTGAAACGTAGAGCAGAACAGGATTTCTTTATGTTACGGGAACGCGAAGAGAGTTCCCGTGATTCTTTGCGTCGCGTTCCCAACACGTAGAGCAGAACACCACTGGTGGTATGCTAAGGTCACACTTGGCCGGTTTTTGTGCGGAGCTCGTGTGCGCTTGGAGGTGAATCGAGTACGGATTGACTGCAGAACGTGCAATATGTGTAATAGGTTCGTGTCATATGACTTACAGGTAGACCACCTGCACAATACTAACAAGAGTACATAACCCCCCCCCCCCCCCCAAGAGTGTGCAACTCCTGATACCCTTTCCGTGGGGTACGCCGACAGAGAAAACTCACGTCACGTGGTGCAGTGTCGGAGTTGTACATTTCCAGCGCATTTTTAGCGAGCAGTGGAGTAATATAAAAGCACGCTCTGACAGAAACTCATTGCGGATATGCAATCCCCCAGCATGATCATGGCAGATATTTGGATTACGTGAACGTTCGCCTTCGTTTGTACGTAGCACAGACACTTGATGTGAGTTTTCGCCGACGGAGACCCCATATGCAGAGTTGCACACTCTTCGGGGGTTATACACTCTTGATACTACGAAAGGACGAGATGGTGGGGCGCTCTGGCGGTAGTATCATTGCATTGACTACTGAGGTTCTGCTATACGTGAAACATAGAGAAATTACGTAGAGAGCAGGTGTCTGGATTAGAGTCTACGGCTCCGCGTGTTTAGGGTACAAATTTCTACGCGTAGATGAGTTTCTCTACGTTGTGGCACACGCAAAGAAAATGTGTACGCATCTGCTGGGTATCATTCGAGTGCAGGTAGAAAACTGCCAAATATAGAAGGGGGAATTGCCGGTACACATTAGGCCCAGACAGATTCTGCTCCGGTCGCCTCGATATTTTGCGGCAAAATGTTGCTGCGAAATCTTCGATATTTTGCCGAGCCTGGCACAAGAAACTCGATATTTTGCTCCATTTTGCTCCGGAAAAATGTGTATTATATCCACTTCCCGTACAACGTTTCATAAAAATCGCAGGGTCGGTTTCTCAACACGGGTTTCAACGCACGTGTCCCTGAGTTCTTCCAAAATCAAGTCGATCCACAGTGAATCCCAGAGATATTTCGGTGACCAAATCTCGTCCTGGGCAGTGTATCCTGCTGAACGGGTAAGAGACAAGGAAGTCCAAGTATCAGGCATCAATTTTACCCAACATCTCGATATTTTGCTCCGATTTTGCTAGCAATTTCCGCTCTTTCAATTCTTCGATATTTTGCCGAAAGAATTGCCGGCAGGATCTGTCTGGGCCTAGTACACATTCCACCGGCCTATTTCCAGGTGACTTCTCTACGTGAAACCTAGAGTAGAACAGGATTTCTTTACGTTCCGGGAACGCGAAGAGAGTTCCTGTGATTGTTTGCGTCGCGTTCCCAGAACGTAGAGCAGAACCTCACTAGTGTGTGTGTGAATTACATCTAATAGCTAGCAGCATGCTTAGGCTAGGCTAAACCACACTGAGCTAGTAACCGTTGGGTGTCTCAGTACTCCCTACCAGTGTGGTGTGCCTTGTTGTAGCACTCTCTAGCGGTATATTGTTTGGTTGGTTTGGCGGACAGTTAGTCGTAACGTGTAAACACGTAAACTAACATTTTTTCAACCATGAGCCATTAAAGTATTACAGTACTGTTTATTGTTCTTCTCTTTTTGCTGATTGCGCACAGAGCGGAGTGGCCTTTTGCCCCCACAATCCAACTTGTGAAAAGCAAGTCTGTTCTCAACGAACGAGCGGTTGCTGTGAAGCATGCGGCGTTCAAAGTAAGATCAATTGCACGAGACAACTGTTTTTTGTGTGTTTTTTTTTGGTGGCTGTTTTTAGCCGTCATGCCGAGACCTCAGTTCGGCAGAGCCATCAATGCCCCACCATCACTGCTGTGTCTCCGTTCAGCCCCTGCTCAGTAGTTGTCACATTAGCCCTAGTCTCTGTAGCAGAGCCAGCACCGTCGCCTTTCATTATCATTTTCGAGCTGGGTATGTGAAAAAGAATAGAGAAATAAAAAAGTGGCTGTGGTCTCCTTTGCACAACACCTGAATTGTGGGAACTGTTCTGTAACTGTTCTGAGTATGTGCAAGCCATGTTGTGAACTTTGCTACCAGTGCAGAGGGAACACACAGGACCCAACAATCAATAAACCCTAAACGACGGCCACCAATGTGCTCAATCGCTGGAATCATGTGAATTTCAGGCTTTTATGTGTAATTTTTACTTGTAGGAGAAGAAGAATACTCAAACACACAAAGAAACACAATGAAAACCTTGGCAAAGTCCGCTGTGGCTCAGAGTTTCATGGCTGAACCAATCATCTGACAGCGCTAACGGAATAGGAGAACCTAAGCCTACTCAACGGCCTCTTTGAATACCTGTACTCAAAGATTCGATCGGAAGAACCGGAGTACTCCAACTCGGGATCACACAGCAAACTTTCACCCCGAGTATCAAGACCTTCAAGTTCTTACCAACCCTCAGTACCAGATAGAGAGAAAGTGCAGCATTTCAGACATACGAAAGACCGTGTGAAAACGCACCGAGGAAGCAGAATGTTACATTTTCTCACACCTTTAAACCTCACACAAAACAGCATGGGCAGGTGCGAGTAGAATTTCGGGAACTTAGAATGGGCGTGATGCCGTAGCCGGTTTTGTTTCGAACATCTTGCTCTTTTCACACCGACTTTCAACCCGCCATGCTGAAGTTCGGTCAGACATGTACAAGTAGGAACCAGAAAGGTTGCAGGTTGGTCGAAAGAGTGCTCAATGCCCGGGGGACACCCTAGACACTTATAACAAGTCACAACGAATTCTTCATCCTCTTCATCTTACTGGGATTGTTTTGTTTCCTTGTGTTGATGCCTTTGTTTTTCAAGGTCCTTGTGATTTAAACTGTACGCAAGGAAAGACATGTTTGCTCGGAGGAACAGGAAAAAGTTGCCGATGTAAGTCAGTGTAAATAGGCAGCAGGGACATGAACAGGCTCCTTCCACTCGCACCCTGGACATGTAAATCTACTCCCACCTGCTAGAGCCAGCACACACACCCGTGCCACCTTTCTCTTTGTCACCACTGCCACATGGAACTCCCTCCCGGCTGCCATTCGTACTGTATCCAGCCCAAAATGTTTTACCGCTCTTGTCCGCACACACTTTGCTATCACCCGTTATGGGCCCTCTCTTTTCATTCCACGTAGAGTAGCGATGTCATAGAGCACTGTGTTATATTACTACGACCCCGCATCATTCTATTTCCTATTTTTATTTTCTCCTCAGCTTCTTCTTCATAAGCTGTTGACGGAGACTCCCTTGTTTTAGGCTAAGGCCTGTGGAGAATCCATAAATACAAATACAAATACAAATAAATGTCATACATGTGTTCGGAGAGTCGCTGGCTGCGCCGTTCTACAGCCAGTGTTACCTAGCACCGGGGAGTCATATATTTACGACTCCTCGGTGCTAGCACTGAATCTGCTCAGTGATATACACGACCGACTGGATTGTGCAATACTTTTAAAAAGGTTTTAAAATTTGTGTAATGTTAATCTTAGGATGCGTTCTTAAATCCTCTAGCTTCTAGGAGAAGAAGAAAATAGAAGTCGAAGAAACTGGTATAATGCAAGGACAGGTCTCGAAGAATTTGGAGATATTTTGCACATGTGAAGCGATATGGAGCGCCAAAGGAGCCGCGATCTTGAGTGCCACGAATGCAGTAAGCATTGTTCGTATGCAAAAATGGAAATGCGTACTCTCATGATCAACACATGCTTTTAGCCGTAGTTCGCATGCGCTGATCCCAAACCACGGGAATCTCCAAGTTTCAACCACCCCCCGAAGCGTGGAGAGCGTCCTAAAATTCGGAGAGGATATAAGAACGGCTGTCGAACTTGTTTCGGGAGTCTCCAACTTTTCCGAGAACGCACCCTTAATTTTAAATATATTTTCAGTGAAGAAACTGTTTTGGAGTTGAGAAGTAAAGTTTCCTTAACCCTTTGTCCTTTTGCCCAAAATGTATGTGAGGGGTACATGCTTCAACAAATCCACTCACCATTCCCAAGCAGCTGATATTTTGTATGTACACTTTATGTTTTCCTGAAAGCTTATGATAATTGTGAACTAAAAATGCAGTTTAGGTTGAATTCCTCAGATAGGCGTGGCTAAACAAGAGTATCAAAAATGATTTTTTGGCAAAAATCGGCAAAATTCACAGTTCAAGTTCTTTCCTTTGTATAATAATGTGCAATTTGTACAAGTATGACCTGCAGTAGCACCCCTGGCATGTCGGGCAAACACGGAGCATCAGCCAGAGGACAGTGGCAACATGCTCGACATTGCGGCCCTGTGCGGCTACTCTCCTCGCTCTGCGCGGCTGTCGACCATGAGTTTGACGGCGCGCAGGTGACGGAGATCTGGACCTCTCTGGGATCGGACTACGCTCCCGCTCCACGTGCTGCGGCATTCTAGCTGACCCTGCTGCTCCACGACGGGCAAGACACGGCGGTAGTACACTCTCTTCACCACGCGAGTGCTGTTCTGCCGATCCTGCGCTCAAATCGGAGCGGTCGACATGTCCGACAGTTGGGTCGACGGTTACGACATCATAATCCGCGTCGTCATCAAAATCAGAATCAACACCTTCTACTAAGGCTTCGTCCAGTTCGTTCTCTTCATCAGAGGACATAGGATTGTCGCTTGGGTCACTCCAGCTATCCTAAAACAAGCGCTTCATCTGCATCAAGCGACCTGTGTGCTGCCATGTCGGAAGTTACGGCGCAAGCAAACTTCGACTTTGATTTCCTGAAATTTTTCAAATGGCAACTAGCCCCAGCGACCTGTGTATCATCCTCTACATAGCATAGGCTGTGTGCACGTGAATTTTCATGTGGATCGGGTGATCCGCGTAGCTTCCAGGTCGCTTTGAACATGCGTGGGTTGAACCGTACACAGGTGTACGGTTCAAGTATGGGCGAAAGGACAAAGGGTTAATGTGTAAGTGACTGTGTTGGAGCTTGCGGACAATTAGACAAAGAATAGAACCATCTTTGTTAAACCTTATGCATATTGTACAGATGCACCAAATCCCTGTTTTTTTTTGTAATTTTGGCATGATAACGTGCAGAAAGTTTAACGATCGCTACCTGGCCACCCATCTGTACGCGCATTGTTACGCAGACATCTCAAAATAACATTTCTTCAAATAACGAAAATATGTTGGTCGTTAAAACGTTGTGTCTCGTTAGACTTTCCAGTTTTACAGTAATTGGAGTCATCATGGTGTTTAGTCAGTCAAAGAGCATTCGTTCTTCCTCGGCGCCACCAAACATTGCCTTAGTGCTCTGTGTGATGAACGTTTCTCTTCCAGCGCGAGATTGTGTCTATGGACTCGTGGAGAAGAAATGAGTGTCGCTACTTTGCACTTGAGATCTTGGAATGGTTTTGCTTGTCAATCTTGTTGTTGTGCGTGTATGTGCGCCACTTGCCTATCTCCTGTCATAGATGTGATGCAACACAGTGATTCACAAGTATTATTTGTGAACCTGTCTAAAATAGACGTTCACGTCTTTGACTACGCTCGGAATCTTTGGTATAAGACACCCAACTTTACGGTTGTAGATCAAAGACCGATCCTGATTGTGATGAACCATGGACAAAAGGGAGTCCATTTCAGATCCCGGATCAATTCTACCACTTATCATTTCGGCTTTGGGTCTTATACCTTCAATGGTTCAATTGTGTCTACC